GACAGCCGCTGCAGGCGTCCCTAATGGTCAGGAAAACCACTTTTTTCAAATATGATCTATTAATAGGGGGAGTTGTTGGGATCTAGATCAGTCCTGTTGAGGCTAAAACGCTCTCTTTCTAACTGGAAAAATGGCCAGCACCCGCCACCGCGAGTCAGCAGTCAGGAGCGAGCCGGCTCCTCTTCAGCGTTGCCCCACACCGACTCAGCGGGGGCGACAAGGAAAATCCAGCTTCTTTCACCCTTGGGACGAGGGTGCGTTTTTGTCAGACCAAACCCTGCTCAGCAGCGCTCTGCAGTGACCCAGGCTATGAAAACCTCCGAGTCCAAGCGGGGCGAGTCGCTCCTCGGCGGGAGCGCAGTCACCCTTTGCTGTCGCGCTGCCTATTTCGTGCAGCTCGGCCACAACCGGGAGAAGTTTCCCCGCGCCACAAAGGAACTAAGCTTTTCATACGTCTCTGTAATCGGTCTTCCTTCCCCTCATAGGATGCTAACCGAGGTTGAGATTTTTTCCAGTTGAGCATGGGATTTTGGCTTAGTCATTTCTGCAAGTCCTCTTCCTCTCTTTCAAGTTTTCCCAAGCTTTGGTTTGACTCTGTATCCGTAGGAAATGACAAGTCATACCACTTTTTTCTTTCAAAGTATTTCATACTACTTCACTCTTCCTAGGAGCACAAGGTCTGAGCGGGAAGGCACAATGAACTCATGAAGTATTACCGACAGGAAGTGACATTTTTCCTCCTTTTGTTCAGTAAATCCCCTAGGGACTGCAGTTGAAATATTGGAGACATTTTATTTAAAGGCAGGAAGGTTGTGTTCTCAGCTTAGATAAATTTCTGATTTAATTTTCTGTCAGACTGAACTAAACCAAACGTAATTAGTCTGAACAACGTACAAGCAAAGGCTGTGAACGTAAGAAAAAAAAATCCTGTGAATATAGCCTTAAATCAAGTGTTGCCTCTAAAATATGCTCTAATACCAGCCAAATAAACACAGCATTTCAATTAGACTTAGAAAATATGCCCCTAATACGTCAACTTCAAGAGCCTTTGGCAGAAACAGTCATTTTTTAATTACTTGTGCTTCATGGCGTTACCAACACTGGTACCAGCTAGCAGAAGTAATAACAGAATATGTCTCGGGCACCTATCTTCTGATGGCTGGCTGGTGATTTTTCCCTTAACGCTAAGACACTGAAGGGCTTGACTGCAGGTGGCATTTTTGCCATATGTCCATTCCTCAGCTGTGCTTTCATTTTGTGTTTTCATAGGGTTAGGCTTATCCGGTGACTGTTCTCTTTAAAAAAGAAGTTGCAGACACAGAGAAATATTGTGAAATCTTCTCCAGGCGCTTAAGAGCACCTGACTTCAGGTACTGTGACATTATAAACCACAGGACAGCTGCTAGATAAACTCTCTCTCAAATCCTGTAGGGGAGGGACAGACCTGGTAAGAAAAACAACACTGGAAGTTATAGTCCACTGCAACGCATGCACCTCGCACAGTGTCAGCATTTCATGATATTGGCTTGCTTTCCCCAAAAATTCAGAAGAAAAGTGAAAGGAAAGGGTGGTGTGTGTGGGAGAGTGCTAACACTGCTGAATAGATACTGTTTTTTTTTTCTTTTTTCTTAAATATATCTCTCTATATATTTTAATGAATCTTCTGGTTTAGAATACAGCCAGATCTACAGATGTGTCCCGAAGCTCAGCTTCCCCTGCTCACGCTGCCCTGGCAGGGCGCTCACCCTGTAGCATGTGTGCCTGCCCAGGACCCTGACGGTGGCCGCTAGCTTCCCAGGATTTTCTCTGAAATATAGGGCATCTCCTTATAGCTGAGTTTCCAGACCTCTCAGTCCAGAAAAGGCCCTTTTTACATTCACGTTTCTTTCACATCTCCTCTTCTAAGTCACCGTGTCAACTGGACTGCAGTGAGCAGGATTTAACCCCTCTGGATCACTGTTTTGGGAGGAATGGGATTTATTAGGGAAAAATTGGGTAAAGGGAACAGCAGAAAAGCCTCAGGAACCTGTGTTCAATTTTCTTTGTCCTCCTCACTCTATTCATAATACTCTTTTTTCTCATCAACAGAGCACCTTCCCATGTAATTTATGAGCTGCAGCATACTAATTGGTTAAACAAGTGCCATGTCCTAATGCAGAAGATGTTTCATCACGTTATGCTTCTTAAACATTTTTCTCCTATTTTAATACTCCTTAACCTGCATATAGCAATTAATCCCAAGTTACAGTGAAAAACAATCCATAACATAAGTTAAAACTATTAAAGCTTGTAAAAGTTTTTTTCACAGAATGATTTATAGACAGTCGTAGGTTTGAAACTCTCCTTTTATTGAATATATTTCTCCTTACTTTACAAATAATTATATGTCCTGATACAAATGTTCCTTCACAGAAGGTACATTTTTTTTAAAAAAAAAGGGCTAGGGAGCCATCCAAAATAAGCCATTTATTGTTCATTAATATAAAATGTGTTCATATTTCTAGGAGGTGTCATATCCAGACCACTGTTCATCCAAATTTCTTGTATGATCTGTTCTCTGCGCTCTATCCTCTCAGCGAGCTCTGCGGCTTCTGTTGAATTATAACCTGAGTAAGAAGGTCTGTAAAGTCCTGCTATCTCATCCGGAAAGTCTGATTCGGAGGAATCCTCCTCCTCCTCCTCCTCCTCCTCCTCCTCCTCCTCCTCATTTTCCTCCTCCTCATTTTCACTCTTCTCGTATGCTCCATCACTTTCTGGCACTAAGTGATCTTTCTTTCCGTGCAATTTCTGGAAGTCATTAGAGCATGACACACGGATCACCAAAGCACACAGCGTGAAGATTAAACCCACACAAACACTGGACACAAACAGTAGAGCGGCTCTTTCAGGGTGATCTGAAATTAGAAATCCAGTGCTTAAGCACTTTTTTAGAAACTATGCCAAAGTCTAGCTCCAAAGAAGTCAGCTGTCATTTCCAAAGAGCGCTGCATTATGCAGCCGCCGCGGTGGGGTGTGTTGGGGGTGTGTGTGTGGGAGGAGATCTATCCTGCCATGCACAGAAAGACTCTGCCCTTGGAAACCGAGCTCTGCCTTCTCCGTTCTTTACATTGCGGTGCAAAAAGCCCAGCCTCTCTACAACATTACATAATAATAGCATTATCCCATCTTTTTATTAGCAGTTTGCTGGCGTTCTTAACCACCTACCAGGAATATACCACCTTTTTCCAGCTACCCTGCCAAAGTGGGTCTTGCTCGCAGGCAGAGAGAGCATGGGAAGGGACAAACGTGTGCCTTGAGGAGCCACAGCAGCATCTCCAGGCCAGGGTGCGGAGGCAGTATTTTTCCTTCTGCCATCCCCTGCGATGACTTCTCACTAGAGCAACCGGAGACACAGACGTGGAAATGGCCTTTCTTGATGGGACGTGAAATCAAAGCCGAGCTGCTCGGGCTGCTTATAAAGAGGCTGCTGCAGGGTGGTGTGAGGGGCGCCAGGGGTGCGGGGAGCGCTGCGCGGGGCAGCTGGTGCCACCGGCGGGATGTGACAGCCTCGCAGTGCCCACGGGGTACGGCCACCCGGCACTGGCCGGGGCCTGCACCGAGGCCTTGTGGGCCCACGCTTGAAAACGGGGCGGTTCCTGCCGTTTTCTAGAAGAGCAGAAATCTCAGCTCCAGAATCGCTCCTTCATGTCAGCTTGTGCTCGCGTCGGGAATTCATGGGAATTCTCCTGCGGTTTTAGAGATCTGGTGATCATGGATTTATTTGTCTAAACAGAGTTTGATAGTGTTGCTAAGTCACAAAACCTGGCACGTCCCATACCAGAGATGACTGGGGTTTTGTTGTTGTTGTTGTTGGGTTTTTTTTTTATTACTGCTCCTCAATGATCCTTGTATGTATGTAAATTAACATTTCCAAAAATGGATGTCTCCCGCACTGCTCCCAGAACAAGACCTGATTTTCAAAAATACTGAACATCCAACACTCCTCGTTTAAAATACTCATTTAAAAATTCTTGGCTGCAGCCTCTAAAAAAGTTTGGATCCTTCAAGATGGAAAATATTCTATAAATATCAATTATGTTGTGATTGTCCCATCCACAAGACTATGATTATACTGTCATCACACATTTACTATAAATACAGGATTGCCAGTTGCAACTTTCTGAGGTGATCCTCCCTTCTCCCACTCCCTCCACAATGCAAAGACCTATTGAACCAAACAGTTTAAGAAAGTCTCATTTTCTCACCTCTAATGTATGCAAATGTGGCCAAGGAGTTGCTAACGATAATTCCTTCTTTCTTTGGAAGTCGTGACTCCCTCGGGTCAAAGTCGATACCTGTGACAACTGAGGAGGCAAAGCAAAGTCAGGCACGCCGCTTTGCTGCAGGAACTCTGCAGAATGTTAGACCAAGCAGTGGTTGGCAAACAAAATAAATATTGAAATAAAAGGGGTATTGAAATAGAATAAAAATTAAATCAAAAGAGTAGATAAAATATTGAAAATATTGAATACCTAGAAAATGCCAAAATTATTAAAGACCCTGCTATACCAAGTGAAATCCCTTGCCGATTCCATTTAAGCCCTCTGAAATAATTCACTTCATTAAGCTTCACAGCCAACAGACTTCCTAGCCCAGCCACTGCAGTAGATTCCTGATAGCGATGATGGAGATATATATTTGCCACCCGTTCATTTTATTTGCCTTTAAGAAGAGTAGGTGTTGGTATAACCCTTAAAAGGCGCTTCAGTCTGAAAGGACTGCAACTTCACTTTTACTCTTCCCACCTTTTGATGAAAGTTAAGAAACAGCACAATGAATACGGACAGCCCGGTATTTGTCTCCCCTTCAGTCAAAACACAGTACACCTACACTCCTGTTTGGAGCGACACATGAGCTGACTCAAGTCAAAGCTTCACAGTTCCTTGTATACGGCGTGAGACACCTATGGCAGCCAGCAGGGCTTTACACGAGGTCTTCCCCGTATATCCCCCTTATTCTTTGTCTCTCTGCCATACCTGGAAGCCTTAACCAGGGATTACGAGTCCCGCTAAGGGTACTCGCATGCATTTGCAGTCGTGACTCCGGACTACGTCTGGTTTGTAAGGAGCAGCTGCCTTGTTTCCCCCCCCCCCCCAAAAGAAGCCTTTGGCTCTGCGTCCGATCGCATCAGCTAGCTCTTTTACTGAGGACGAGCGCTTGAAAGCGAAACATTTCTCTGCGCGTCTCCCTCGGCTGTGCCGGACCTCTGGCAGGGATGTCTCCGCGCGCCGGAGCGCAGCCCTTTTCAGCGCAGCGCGTCCCTGCCGACAGGCGTCCCTGCGCGGCTCCTCGCAGGGCCCGCCG